CCCACTACCCTAATTTATTTTTTTTTTTTAAAAGGGACTAACCTCATTTTGTTTTTTATGAACACAAGACCACTGGCCCACATTTTTATTTTTTTTTTTTTTTCTTTTAAAAGTGAAGATAATAAAAAGCAATGCTTTTAATTAATCAGTAAAATTTTATTTAATGTTGGACCACTTGGCTATCATTACTCCCCCCACATGACACTAAATCTGTGATAGAATCACCGGGAAGATAATAACTTTGAAAGTTTAATGTGGGGAAATCCGAGAATCGAACTCAGGACGCTACCACCCAAAGGTAGCATTATACCACTTAACTAATTTCCCTTAATACTGGTAATAATGTAATGAATCAATAGTTTATCTTTAGGGTGATTATATTTAATCACGTCAACATGATGTCATACCAACCACGTCAACATTATAGCCACGTCAATATTAACCACCTCAGTATATAAGCAAAAAAGTATTTAAACTCAAAAGAATATAATTTTATAGTCAGTTATTTTAGAGTCGTTTTAGAGTTAAGTTTAGAGTTATTATAGAGATAATTTTATAGATAGTTTATAGATATATATAAGTAATAAAGATAATTAATAAATAAAGTATATTTTAGTGTTATTCGCATTCTCATAATTGTTTTAAGTGTTTTTAAGTAATTTAAGTGTTTTAGTGTTTATTATTTAGTTAGTGTTAATATATTTTGTTGCGTCTCCATAAGTGTTTATTTTAGAGTTTATTATATTTTCGTTAAGTATTTTATTTGTGTAACTTAGTCATAATCATATACCTTTTCATTACAATAATGTAATGAAATGACCCCCCTATTAAGTTAATAAAGAAATATAGTAAAGAAACCTTTATTTAAGTATTTTAGTTATTTATATTATTTATTGTTATTGTTATTATAAGTTAAAAGATGATAATAATGTTAAATAAAGAACTATTACTGAAGTATTTATAGTGTCATAAACAAGTTGACATGAATGTATATATATGTTAAACGTGTGACATTTTCAACTAAATATATTATTTATGGAAGTTTATTACTATTTTAAGAGTTATTTATTATAAAACTAATTATTACTATTTTAAGAGATATTATTATAAAACTAATTATTACTATTTTAAGAATATTATTATAAAATTAATTATTGCTATTTTAGGATTGTTAATAATAAAAATCACCTTAAAGATGTTGATACTGTTTCATTACAATAATCAAAAATGTACTCTATTTTACCAAGAAAAATAGTAATGAGCTCTTCCAAATATTAGATTGGGCTTAACAATTGCAGAAAATGAAAAAAACTCAATTGACAAAAAAAAATTAAAAAATGATCAAGAACAACAATCAAAGAGAGAAACCACCATTGCCATTGAAGAAATAGATCTCATAGTGAGTAAAAGCTATTAGAGATAAGTTTAATGAAGCAAATAAGCCATTGGAGGAACCAATAATCATATTAGCAACATTAAACATCTTACAACCACAACCTGTAGAGATTATCAAACCTAAAGCTATTATAAAATTTTTTTTTTAGTTATTTACTTTTTTTTTTTTTTTTGAGGTTCTTTTTTGTTAGTTTGTATGTCTAATTTCAATAGCCCTTTTATGAGTCATAGGTTATTCTCCGCGACTCTATCTTCTATAATTTCAATATGGTCTTCTCCTGGTTTCAATACTTCTTTCTTCTTTCTTGCTGAATCGATTTTCCTTGGAGCAAGTGTTGATTTGGTTAAAATAAATTTATTATTTAAATAAATTAATAAAAGTCGTTTAACCTTTGCACCATTCTTATTGAAGGTAAAATTAATGTAAGGTACTAAGATCAAATAATTAAATAAAATAAAATTTATATGAAATGTTTTTGTTTTTATAAAATTCAAAAACTAAAAAGTTTTTATTATTTTTTATTTTTTTATTTTTAAAAAATTTATTTTTTTAAAAATTTTATTTTTTTTAAAACTTCTTTTTTGATAAATTAAAATTGCTGATTATTATTGATTAATGTTTATTATTATTATTGAGTAATTGTAATGTATTCATATGCATATTAGAATTTAATGAATATTACAGTTATATAATTATATCTCAACTAAATAATATTTTTATATTTTCCTTTATTTTAAATAATTTATTATTTAAAATTAAAAATTAAAAATAAAATAAAAATAAAAATAAAAAAATATATAATTTTATTTAAAAAATATATAATTCTATTTAAAAAATATATAATTTTATTTTACTAAAAGTTTTCGGTTATAGTTTTCACAAACAAATAATTGTATATTTATTTGATTATTAGAGTTATTTATCTATAACTAAAGTAGCTCCATCTACATTACATTACATAATTTTTTATTTTTTTTTTTTATTTTTAAAAAAGTGAAGATAATTAAAAGCAAATGCTTTAAATTAATCAGTAAAATTTTATTTAATGTTTTTTATAAAGTTTTTAAAGAAAATATTCTAAACAATTGATATTTGGTAATGATTTGATGCTGATGAAGTATGCTCTTGCTATTCTTCTTTTGAGTTTTCTATATTTTTTTTTTTTTTAAAAGTGAAGATAATAAAAAGCAAATGCTTTTAATTAATCAGTAAAATTTTATTTAATGTTTTTTTATAAAGTATTTAAAGAAAATATTCTAAACTGTTGATATTTGGTAAAGATTTGATGCTGATGAAGTATGCTCTTGCTATTTTTCTTTTGAATTTTCTATATTCTTCATTGATGTTGCTAATTGTTTGTGGTTGTTTAGCGTGTCTTTCCTTGATGTTTTTTAAACCTTTTAAGTATTCTAAAGTAGCTAGTTTAGTCCATTTTGAGGTTAGATTCTTATAATCGAGTTCTTTTATTGTATTTTCTTGATCGTCATATAATTTTTTACATAACCAAATCCAAACATGAGGAAATACCAGGGCTATGGCATTTCTATAAGCGAAACATCTAGTTAAGTCGAAATCTATTGCTTTATAGTTCCATTGGAAGTGTGATTTGTGGAATCTGGTGTTGTTGTAATCCATATTTATTTCTCCATCGGATTTGCGACCTTCTGGGATTTTGTATGTAATATTTTCTATTGATATATTCCTTCTTGATCTTGTTATGTCCAGTGACCAATTGAGGCCCCTTCCCGAAGTAATGAATATAAATGATTTTAGTTTATTGAAGTTGATGAATTTCAGAGTTTTTTTACATTTGAAAAATAGATGACCATATGGATCATTATTAAGATTTTCATTACATAGTCTACATGGTTTGTTGTGAATGAAGTTGATGGGTAAGCATCTTGCTTGGAATTTGAATAGAGTGTTTCTTGATTTTGGATCTTTAATATTAAGTATATTATTGAATAGGTTGATATAGCTATAACCTGTAAGTTGAAGACATTGTTGGAATTCTGTTTTGGGTGTAAAGCTGTTGAGATTGTTTATTTCCGAATACCATTCTGCTAAAGAAAGAGGTTTGCCGTCTTTATTTTTAATGGATTTCAACCCGTCTAGTAGTCCTTTTTTAACTTTTATTTGTATCCAATCATTGTAGTTTTTAAATAGGTAATCTGAAGTTATTGTTTTGGTTGATATTTGATGTTTCCAACTGTGTTGATATTCTGATTCTATTTTGTTAGTTTCAATTTTATTGATTATTTGATTTATCATCCATAATCTTTAAATATTCACTCACCCCAAATATCCAACTCAATAACAATAGTAAACGAACTTAACTCAAACCAACAACATGTTTTAAAATCTTACCCAGGATCTTTAATAAGTGTTACTAATAGAGGAAACGGAATCGGCATACTAAACCATAACAACAAAACAATACAACTCAAAGAAATTTTCACAATTCCCGGTCGAGCCATCATTGCAGATATTATCACCACCTTTTCAAGCACCAGAATTCTAGCAATATATGCCCCCGCAAAACCAGAAGAACGTAAATTATTTGCAGTTTACATCAACGACCACTATAACAAATACTACAACAATGATAATCCAGAAAATAAAATAGATATTATAGCAGGCGACTTCAACTGTCTTGACATAAACGACCTTACACTTCCACAAACAAATACACAAATCTTATCATATGATCTTATAGTGGAACGAAAATTTATATCAACACCAGATGATTTAGCAACAGTAATAGAATCCATTAAAATAAATAACAGACTAACTGATACAGACCCAAAGAAATTACCAACTTTCAAAAGGAAAATAAAAACAGATTTAGGTGACAGAGTTTTCTATATTCTTCATTGATGTAAACACTACATAATGATCTTAGTTCATTACATTGGTGGTTAGCATTTAACACATAAATTTACCTGATAACCGGGAAGATATTTCCATAAAAATCAAAATTGAAGTGGGGAAATCCGAGAATCGAACTCAGGACGCTACCACCCAAAGGTAGCATTATACCACTTAACTAATTTCCCAATATTCTGATAATTGATAATAAATAGATTTCATGATAGTAAAACAACTAAAAAAAAATTAAAATTCAATACCAAAAAAAAAATTAATCAACAAAAATTAAATAACAAAAATTAAATAACAAAAATTAAATAATCAAAATTAAATTTCTAAAAATTCTTTTAAAAAAAAATTAATAAAAGTCGTGTTAACCTTTGCACCATTCTTATTGAAAGGGTAAGTAAAAAATTGGTGGTTAGCAATTAATACAAAAAAGATAGTAAGAGGGATTGTTGTTGAAAGCATTGAAAAAAAAAACTCGAATCACAATGCCCGTTCTGTCCAGACAAAGAATCATTAGAACATATTCTTCAAGTGTCCATAAACCGGTACAAGATATAAATCAAATTTTAAAAGACGCAAAGTACGATCCTGTAGTATGGGACGAACACCTATTTTCCAAACTGGATAAACTATTCCTAGCAATTTTATTAGCAACAGTTTTCGGAAATATATGTAGAGAAGAAACAAAAAAAACCATGAACATTTCACCCTATGAAATAACGTATGAAAGTACTCAAGAGATTCAAAAATATTAACAGAATATATAAGAAACTTCAACACCAAGATCCAGCTAAATATATTATGGAATTATTCAAAACGATAATAATCAATTATATCTAATTGGAAAAAAAAAAAATTTTAAAAAATTATAAATTTTTTTATTTTAATTTTTAGCAAATAAACCAATATATTGTAATATTATTTATTTTAGGTGCTCTAATATAAATATTGAATAGGACATTTAATTCAATAATTATCATTCCATCTTATTAAAGTTGGGGGTATACATATTTATTCAAGGAGCTGTATTAACTTGCTCCATTTAAATTCTAGTTAAGGCAAAAATCCATGGTTAATGATTAAAACAAAAAAATCAACAAATATATGTTTAACAACAAGTTTATAGTACATTTGGGTTGAACTACAATGAATAAAACCAATTGATAAATAGATGTTAAAAAAAAAACAACATAATTTAAAGTATTATTTGGTAATTATGAAGTTGGTAAAATATGTATTTGCAAAAGATTTAGTAGCTGGAATCAATATATATTTGATGATTTATATATACCAATGTATCGCTTTCCTAAATCAAATAAAGAATTTAATATTGACAATAAAAAAATTAAATTTGGTTAATACATAAACCCAAATTCAGGCTTTAATATAAAAAAGAGAAACAAATTAAATTTTAAAGATTAAAATGGTGCAATTTTAGTATATTCAATTACCAATCCAGAATCATTTGAAAGTATAAAAAAGGAACGGTTTAAAATAGTTTTTGAAAGTTTTGAAATAGATTAGAATTTAGTTTAGAAGAATGATTTAAACCTGTAATAATGCACAAGTAGCATTTAATGAAATGGCAAATCAAATATTTAAAAACTATTTAAAATATAAAGGACCAACCCAATTTGAAATTTCAAAATTACCACCAACAACCCAACTTAATAATAATAATAAATCATGAATAATAATTTAAATAAAAAAAAAATAAAAAAAAATTCCAAAATATATCTCTTCTATTTTATTTTATTTCTATTATTTTATAAATATAAATAATAGATAGAAATAAAAAAAATAGATTTTGGGAAAATTTTTCGGTTTTTTTTATAAAAAATTTTATTTTTTTTTTTTTATTTTTTATATATTATTTTTTTCAAATATACAATAAAAATTTAGTAAATAAAAAAAGATAGATGAGCCACGCACGTAAACATGTCACAAATAAATCCTTAAATTCATCACTTACTCTTGAACAAGATCAAAGTATAGTTAAAGTTGTTGATATTAGAGGCGGTAATGTTATCGAAGTGCAATATGCAAATGAATCTAAAGTTTTAGCAATTTTACCACAAAAATTCAATAAAGTTCTTTGGATCAAAAAAGGAAACTATGCAATTGTAGATAAAGAAGATGAATCTTCAAAGCAAGTTAGATGTGTTGTTTCTCATATCTTATCTAAAGAAAATATTAAAGGTTTAGTTAAATCAAATGAATGGTAAAAATTAATATAAATAATAAATATAAAAAATAAAATAAAAAAAAAACTCCAAATCTAACATTAATTTTTTACTATTTAGGCCTAAAGAATTTGAATTAGAAGATAAAAATCAAAGACAAAATAATAATATTGTCAATAGACAAATTTTAATGAATGATGGTGATAGTGACGAAGATAATTTTGATGATTTAGGTATGGGTAATCCAAATCGTAAAAAATATGGTTATGTAGATAGTGATGAAGAAGAAGTTTGTAGTGATGAAGAAGAAGAAGAGGAAGAAGAAGAAAATTAAATAAAGTTTTTTTTTTAAATATTAAATCAATAAAAAAGAAAAAAAAATTTCATATGTAAAAAATTTTAAAATGAGAGATTTTTTATTTTTTTTTTATTGTCATGATAATTTTATTATACATTTTTTTTTTTTTTTATAAATTATTTATTATTTGTTGCTCTTTTTTTATATCATTATTATATATTAAACAATATAATCAACTTATTTTTTTAATTGGTTAAGTTCTTTTTGGATGGCGGCTAATTGATTTTCAAGCTCTTTGATTTTGGCAGCATTTGGATTTGAGGTTTCTTTTGGAGCTTTAGCTTGGGATTGACTTTGGGTTTGCTTTTGTTGTTTTTCTTGTCTTTCTTTCTATATTTTTATAAAAATTAAAATATTAATATAAAAAAAAAAATAAAAAAAAAAAAATTTTAAAAACTAATGCATACTTGGAGTCTTAAATCATTTCTTTCTTTTTCTTTGACATATTGGTTTTCAAAAGCTTCTTCTCTTTCTCTAATATCATTGTTACTTCTAAGGACGTATGGTTGTGAACGAGCAACAACTGAGGTACGGGCTAATCTGGCTAATTTGGTTGAAACTGACATTATTATTATTTGTTTTAAATATATATAAATTAATTATTGATGTGAACTTGTTTGGATTGGGGTAAAAAAATAATTTTTTTTTTTTTACGCAGAGAAAAAAAATTGTTTTTTTTTTTAAAATAAAAAATTATTATGCAAAAAAAATAATAAAAAAAAATTAATTTTATTTTAATTTTCAAAAAAAAAAAGAAAAAAAAATAGATATTTTTAAAGTTACCCAACCATATTTATGTGAATATTCATCAATATTGTTTTTATTAAAATGATTTAATAATCATTACAATGAACTTTATTATTATTTTTTTCAAAGAATACCATTTTCAATCATAATTATTTTTGATTAAAAATAAAAAATGAAAAGAATATTATAATTTTTTTTTATTATTATTATTTTTGATGAAAGTAGTAATTTTATTTTTATTTTGTTATTTTTATTTTGTTGTTTATTTTGCTTTTTTATTCTTCAACAAGATCTTCTAATTCTTCATCCTTATCGGAAATTTCGTGAACACCTTCTTCTTTTAATTCAATATCAATATTGTTTGTATTTATATTTGAGTCGGATTCGTCATCATCTTTGGTTCCGGTTTGATCTAATGGTAATAGTTCATCAGCCTTACATTTGGTACATAAACAAGTGAATAAATAACCTTCTAAAAGTTTTTCTCTTCTCTTATTAAGTGGTGCAGAGGTATCGATATAGGAGATGGTTAATTCTTCGCCTTCTTTAACATTCTTTAATAAAGTACATTCAACCTCTAAAGTATTATTAACAACCCAATAATTTACATTTGGATCACAAGAGTGATTGAAAAATGAATTTCTAACATAAACACCGCAACCTCTTGATTCACCTGAGGTACCATCTCTTGGTCTTCCTTGTATATAAAATGCATTACATCTATAATATAGCGAAATTAAAAATTTATATTAATTAAAGTGTTGCACAATAATATCAATAATAACTATATTTACCTATTTCTTAATAAAATATTTAATAATTCATCTTCGTCTTCTTCTTTATCAATTTTAGCAGCTAATTTAACAATATATTTACAAATCCAATAAGAAAGACTTTCTTTAAGTGATTCATTATAATTTTCTCTAAAAAAAAATAAAAAAATAAAAAATCAGTATATATTTTTTATAAAACTATATATGGTTGAGTATAGATACTTACACATTTGAAACCAAATCAGCATAGTCATTATATCTTAAACCATTATCTTGAGGTATTAACGATGAGGGATTTTTATATTGATTGTATGTATTTATTTTTGAAATTTCAGATTCATCAACACCAGCAGAAGAGTTTATTGATTCTTCAAGCCATTTTCTTGAGAGAGTTCTAACTAAAAGTTTGATTTCTGATAAAAGGAATGGAGAGTATTCTTCGGTATCTAATTCTTTAAAGATTTGACATTCGAAACGATGTTGGTTGTAATCTATATATTTACAATGAATTGAACAATATCCTACACGGTTACATCCTTCGCACATATAAAAATCTGTTGGTAAAATCTGTTGATTTAATGGGACTTCTAAAAAACAATGTTGACATACGATATCACATGCTGCATGATCTACAGCCCATGTATATGGGAGATCTCTTAAAATTACAGTTTGCTCTTCTATATCCTTGGTGGCTACTAAATAACGTCCATTGACTGGATGTTTATAAACTTCAATTGGCCATTCTGTGTGCCAAAGTTTATAGTCGATTGGTAATTGAACTCTTTTTGGCTTCTTTGGCTTTTTACTCTTCTTTAAATTAGCTTTATTTAACCTAACCTTTTTTTCTTGTTGTTGCTGTTGTTCCTCTTCTTCTTCATTTCCATTTAAATTGGTTGATTTCTTTTCATCAATAATTTCACTAGTTTCACCTTTATTCATTTTTTTTTTTTTTAATTTAAATAAATATATTATATATTATTACTTGAGTATTGTAATTATATTATTATTATTATTATTATTAGTTATTACTATTATAATATTATTATATTGTTGTTAAAAATAAAAAAAAAGTAATAGGAGGTTATTTTAAAAATATAAAAAAAAAAAAAATTAAAATTTTATTTTTAAAAAAAATTAAAATATTTTTTTTAAAAAATTAGAAAAATAAAATAATAATTTAAAGTAATACAATATAAATATAAATATTAATTATTGTAATTACAGCTATATATATATATAGAAAATAAATAAAAATAGTTCCACAAGATAAAAAAAATTTTAAAAAAAAATCAAAAAATAATATTATTATTTCTTTTTTAAAAAATTTTTTTAAAAAAAATTAAAAAATAAAAAAAAAAAAATTAGTCACATAATTAGAGCCATTCCAAATTAATTTTTTTTATTATTTTTCATTTTTAAATTTTCTTCCAAAAAATTAATAAAAGCATCATATAAATATATATTTATCTCAAGAAAAATCGTACTTCAAGTTTTTTTTTTAAAAAATATCTGGTTTTTTTTTTTTTTTAAAAAAAATAAAAATATTTGGGGGAATATTTGGTATTTTTTTAGTAAGGCAGTTTAATAAAGGAGAAGCCCCCCCCCCCCTCAACACCTTTATAACCAAGGGGAACATCCGGATGACAATACATATGATATAAAAAACCTCAGCAACCCATCTTCAATGGGGTTTGTTTTAAGAAACGTGACTCACGCCCTTAGAAAAAAAGATCAGGACCTTGGCGGGGAAGCGGGTGTGGGGTTAATTGTTCACAAAAGGATGATAGACCCCCAATATATAATTTAACGGGGATGGCAAAAAAAGGGT